AGTGGTATGTAAGGCAAGCAGAATATTATGAAGAACACGTCCCTGTGCAGAGTAGCGCAGTTATCACCCAGGACATCCTGGCTGACTGCCTACGGAAACTAGCCTTGTGGAGGGCTCCGGGCCATGACAAGTTGCATGGGTACTGGTGGAAGAGGCTGACAAGCCTGCACTCTTACCTTCGGAGAGCCTTCCAGAGGGTGATAGATGGCCACAGTGACATTCCGGGATGGTTGACGTCTGGCGCTACTACTCTCCTTCCTAAGACTTCTCCACCTTCGGCAATGCTCAAAGATTATAGACCAATCACGTGTCTTCCGATACAGTACAAGCTCTTTACCGCCGCCATATCGAAGATTATGTGGCAGCACATCAATCAACATGAAATACTTGCAACGGAGCAGCGCGGTTGTGCAGCAGCTGGTCTTGGTTGCAAGGAGCACCTGATGGTGGATAAGATGATTCTGGAGGATGCCCATACGAAAGGGCGAAATCTGGTCATGGCATACCTGGACTTCCAAAAGGCGTTTGATAGTGTGTCGCATGAATGGATTCTACATGCTTTGACGATGTATCGATTCCACCCGTCTTTGGTCACAACTATTGCCCGTAGCATGCAGAACTGGAGAACGACAATGCACATATGCGACCAGGGAAGATGCAGGGTCACTACCGGCAACATTTTATAAGAAGAGGCATATTTCAAGGTGACACATTATCCCCGTTACTGTTTTGCCTGGCGCTAAACCCAGTCAGTTTTGAGCTCCACCGATTGCCTTTGGGATACAGAGTCAGCTGCAGAGACGCCGAGTTGACTATCAATCACTCTTGGTACATGGACGACATTAAACTCTACGGGAAAACTACAAAGGATGTGACTACCCTCGTGTCTACCGTGTGTGGCGTTGGTGATGACATCGGCATGAATCTCAACCCGGCCAAGTGTGCCGTGCTGCACATCAGGAGAGGAAACCAGATGAAGTATGCTCTATCCAGGTTGGCGATGAGACCATTGCAGAGTCGCTACGACTCAATGAAACATACAAGTACCTTGGAGTAGTGCAAGCAGCCATGATACCTCACCCGCAGCTCAAGACGCAACTCACTGCAGAATACAAAAAGAGATTGTATTTGCTTCTTAACAGTGGATTGAATGCGCGAAACATGATCAAGGCCATCAATACGTATGCTCTGCAGGTTATGACATATAGTTATGGAATCGTAAATTGGACCGAGGCTGAAATAAAGACCACAGATCGAGCGACAAGATCAGCCTTGACTGCGTCTGGATTTCACCACCCCAAAGTCTCAGTCAACAGGCTCTACATGAAGAGGGGAGAAGGAGGCCGGGGCTTGGTCTCTTGTGAGGATATGCACGGCCGGAGCATGTGTGGCCTGGCCCGCTACATGAGTGCCAGCCCAATAGACAGAATAAGCCTGCTTTATAAGTATCATCAACAAAAACCTACAACAAAAAGCCACTCAATAACTGCAAAGGCCGCTAAGGTCCTGTCGAGTTTGGATCTGCCAGCAGCTGGACCAGCTTTACCCAATAAGCATACCATTAAACAAGCGTGCGCCGAGCGAAAATCCAAAACACTTTCCACTATGCCGCTGCATTGGAGATATTGGAGCCAATTGGAGGAGAATCATCTAGATAAGGAGCTTACCTTCATGTGGTTGAAATCAAGGACACTGAAACCTTCAACTGAAGGCATGATTATGGCAGCACAAGACCAATCCCTCAAAACGAAAAATTACCAATACGCCATAATGAAGTCAATTGCTCGAACTGATGCCAATTGCAGGCTTTGCAAGGGCAGCTTAGAAACAATTGACCACATTGTCAGTGCCTGCCCAGTTCTTGCTCGGACCAGTTACATTGAACGTCATAACCGGATAGTAAAGTATGTGCACTTCGAAATGTGTAGAGCACGAGATCTACCTACTGGTGCTTCACGATTCGACCACCAGCTCAAGGCATTGGTCAAAAGTGATCGGTATCGGCTCTATTGGGAGTATTCGGTCCCAACTGACCTGAAACTATCAGCAAACAGGCCCGATCTCCTCCTTGTTGATGACAAGGAGCGCATCGCCTACATTATAGACATCAGCGTTCCTGGTGAGAACAACATCAATAAGAAAATGGCTGAAAAGCGCTCGAAATATTATGATTTGAAGCGGGAGATTTCGAGGATTTGGTCCCTCACCCAGGTTGACGTGGTCCCTGTGGTTGTCGGTGCCCTGGGAGGCTTGGTGAGGGAGACTCCTCAATGCCTCCGGACTGTGCAGTGAGGAGACCTGGCTATTGTACAACAGGAGGCTATACAAGGTTCAATTAAAATACTAAGAACTATCCTTAACATGTAGATGCACCTCTGCTGCGTTTGCATGTTCAATAGCTAAGAGACTTGAATAACGACTGACACAGACTGATATTTCCTTTGTTACTCCCTTCATTGGTTGATGTATTTTGCCTGTCGCTGCAAATTCTTTATTATTGTTTTGATGTTGGAGTTCGGATTGAGTTTCTTTCCTTTCTTCCTCTTCCTTCAGCTATTTCTTGTCCCTTTGGTTTTAGGTTTTATTTATTTATTTTTGTTTGTTTTTTCACTTTCTTTTTGCTGTCCCACCCATGGAAATATTTCCCGGTGGGTCTGGCTTATCGCCTTCGAAAGAAGTGAATAAAGGAAAGATAATAATGCACTAGACCCAGACAGATCCTGCCGGCAATTCTTTCGGCAAAATATCGAAGAATTGGAAGAGCGGAAATTGCCGGCAAAATCGGAGCAAAATATCGAGATGTTGGGTAAAATCGATGCCTGATACTTGGATTTAACTGTTTCTTACTCGTTCAGTAGGACACACTGCCCAGGACGAAATCATGTCACCGAAATATCACTGGGATTCATTGTTGATCGATATGATTTAGGAAGACTTCAGGAACACGTGCGTGGAAACTAGCCCTTTCCCAAAGGTGCTCTTTTAATTCGCACTTAGTGCTTTTCGCGTTCCTCAAAATATGCTGAAAAGGTGCTTTTTTTAAGTGAAAACAGGCAAAAAATGCTCTTTTGTCAATGAAGCGTAGCCATGATACATGTTCAAATATGAACCCAAGCTGAGAAATGAATACACACTCTTCCACTTATGGGTCCACGAAAGGCAAGACAGGAAGTAAAGTTCAAAAAACCCTCTTTTTACAGCATTGTGTACACCGGGTACAAGTTTCACCAACTTGTTGACACCCCCCCCCCCCCCCCCTCTACACACACACAAAAAGCGACGTGCCAAGGCCCATCGAGCGCTCGGAAACTGTAATCGCATGCATGAGCAAACAGATTTCAGCACTTTTTCAGCTAAAAGAGCTCAAAAAGGGCGATATTCACCAAAAAAAGCAATAAAGGGCAAAAGAAACGGATTTTTCCAAAACTTCAAAAGGGCCAAAAGGGCGAAAAAGGGCGAAAGAAACGTGCTTTTCCAAAAAGGGCCAAAAAGGGCGAGCACCTTTGGGAAAGGGCTAGGGCGCGTTTGGTTGGTACGAACTAGAACAGGATTCACCAGAACAGTGCGTTTGGTTGGGACTGCACCTGTTCTGGGTCGGCCAGAATTGCTCCGGCCTCCAGGCCGGAGGAGACCAAGCAGTTTCACTTTTTCACAGTGAAACCTGGCGGGAACATCGATTTTGGTCCCAAATGATCAGGTGCATACGCTTTGGGGTTGAACTCCTCGTACCGTAGAAAGTGACCATGGTGACCCATACACATTTTGAAGAATGCACCAAGTTTGGCACATTTTTCCACAAAAATGTGCTCTGTTTCTGGAGTACCGTTTGGTTGGCATGAGGCTGCTCCATGTGCATCAGCTGTTCGATCCCGTTCTAGAGCTATTGTTTGGCAGCTTTGTGCAGCAGTTGCCTCGAGTTGAGATCGTACCAACCAAAGGCACCCCCCTATTGGAAACCTGTGTTCAGAAACCGATCCTTCGATTTTTATGAAAAGTTGTACGGGATTGTACGGAAAGTGTTTCTCTCCTTTATTATTCAGTTCGCCGTGGTTGGCTACCACCCGACTTCTCATATAATTATATTGGCAGTCTTCTGACGAGCCAGGAGATGTTGAATTATTAATAATAATAATAATAATAATAACAAAGTACACGTTTTTCCGGAGCAAAATGGAGCAAAATATCGAGTTTCTTGTGCCAGGCTCGGCAAAATATCGAAGATTTCGCAGCAACATTTTGCGGCAAAATATCGAGGCGAGGGGAGCAGAATCTGTCTGGGCTAGGCCCCGACAGATTCGATATTTTGCCGCAAAATGTTGCTGCGAAATCTTCGATATTTTTCCGAGCCTGGCACAAGAAACTAGATATCTTGCTCCATTTTGCTCCGGAAAACGTGTATTTAATCTACTTCCCGCACAATCCCGTACAACGTTTCATAAAAATCGCAGGGTCGGTTTCTGTAGTAAAATAAATAAAATAATAATAATAATAAATAATAGCACGGGTTTCCACGTACGTGTTCCTGAGTTCTTCCTAAATCATGTCGATCAACAGTGAATCCCAGTGATATTTCGGTGACATGATCTCGTCCTGGGCAGTGTATCCTGCTGACCGGGTAAGAAACAAGGAAATCCAAGTATCAGGCATCGATTTTACCCAACACCTCGATATTTTGCTCCGATTTTGCCGGCAATTTCCGCTCTTTAAATTCTTCGATATTTTGCCGAAAGAATTGCCGGCATGCCGGCAGGATCTGTCTGGGCCTAGTCTGGGCCTAATGGCGATGCAGCAGTGCGTACGCTGCAGGCCGAATATGACGCATTTATCGCACACATTCTAGAGTGGGCGGCAAGAGGTAGCGAATATGGCCTGTGAGTAATTTCTTGCAGCGCCAGAGATGGCTTTCTGGGTCCCTACCAAATACGACATCGCCTTAAGTGTCCAACGCCTTCCACTTCCCCTACATTTCTTAGAAACTCCTTCTAGTCTAGCTATCTGCGATGAGGAGAGATTTGGCTCGAGGTTGTCACAATCGTTCTTTCTCGATAGCAGAAGACATTCATTCTGAAACCCTCTCCCCTTTCGTCGAACTTAGGAATCCATTGTTCTCTCCAGTAAGATAATATTCTGAAAGTGTGATCTTCCTTTTTGCTGGAAACATTGTTGCTCTGTCTTGGCGGGTCATTATTATTATTATTATTAACTTTTATTTTACCAGGGTGTTTCCCACAAACCTATGGTCTTCTTACGGGAGCCCGTCAGTGGGTGAATCTCTCTTCAATAGTGGTGGGCTCCATTCCCTATTTCTCTTCCATAATGCTTCATATTCTGGCGTCCCGCGTCAAGACCTCTTGCCCTTTTGGCAGAATAATTATTATATCAATCGAATTGAATTTCAATGTTCTCTAAATCATCAATTTGGGTTCATTTGGGTGATTTTAACTACGCTGTTCCTATAAATTCTCTCCTGTTTCCGTTCATATCAATACCATTATCGTTCCCTTTTTAGCAGTTTCCATTTTGCTCTTCGTTTACCTCTTCGTCTTTCACAATCGGTCGGCCATGATTTGTGCACATGATTAGTTCATTGTACTGTTGGCGCATCGGACTTTAAGTAACGTACTACTGCTATGCTTTGATGTGCCCCTTTTATTTGTCTTATTCCAGGCTACAATGATGCTGGTCCAATCACCAATGGTACCCTGGCTGGTTCTGGTGTTTACAGCCGCTGTCTCTACATTACCGGAATCACATGCTGACCAAACCAGTAAGTACTTGGGAATGCTGCGGACACTGAGCTGGGACTGGCCACTGGCTCTATTGAGTATTGGCCGGAATGGCTCGATTTCCTGGCTGGTGGGGCTCGTTGACTGAATGCCGATTGAACGGCCGGCGTTACCTTATCTCAATGTCTCTTCCAGCAGACTAATTCTCATGCCATGCACTTATTTTTGATGACACCGTATACATGCGCTCACGGAACGTCCTTCTCCGATCCTTGCCTACACAAATTCCGAAAGATGTCTTCTAAATGTTCACCCTTGGTAGCCTCACTATGAATGCAGTTCTCCAGTATCATAACGCATCTAGCGTGCCTTGTGTGTGGAGTGGGTGGCGTGTTCGTATCTTTCTGGGCATATATTTTGTGTGTGTCTTCGTGTCTGCGTGTCTGTTCGCCTGTCTGTACTTAGAAATACCTAGTGGTAGGTAAGGCTGAAGTTATGGTTCCAAACCAGTAATACTTTATCACCCTGTGTTTTTGTAAAGAAGCTGGTTCGAAATGTTGGTGTTGTTGCAATCGTTAGTTGTTGAAATGTGCAAACTCGCACGTTGAACTCAAGACGTGGGTCTGGAGGGAGCATCGGGACTTCTCCATATCGATAACTAAGTTCATGGCAACACTCGGCCCTGCAGGGGCAGATCCAGGAGGAGTTCCAGGGGTTCCGCGGAACCCCCTAAATTTCGTAAATGTACTACTGGTGCACATTATGCCTGTCAATGTACATGTATCAGCTATTCAGTTTTGATTTATCGGGGAACCCCCCTGCAGATATCGTTGGATCCGCCGCTGCCCTGTCTTCTGGTCTTGCATTTACAACATGCTTCTTTCCCGTGTTTTTGCATAGCTGTTCAAACCTTGTTCTGCGCTGGGTATGACATCACTGTTCACACCACTCCAGTAACGTTTGCAGCAGCCACTGCGGATTGTAGGCGAGAGAAGCTATTTATTTTGCGACTCAAAGACTACAATCGACGCAGGAATGTGGAATGTTTCACGGTAAGCTCTTCAGGATTGTATAAGGTGTATTAAGAATCACTTCGTAAAAACTCCAAGTCAATCTCCCATGACACAAACCTCGTTTATTCAACATACATGTAATCAAATCCTATCCAATAAAAACAGTTCATAAAAACAGTTCATAAAAACAGCTTTTTAGGATCGGACCCAGTCCGCATAACCAAGAGAGCTAGCTTCCTTGGCTGCTTTTGGAATATGCAAGAATGGGCCTTCCAGATAAGGTCTAACAAGGAGAAGTGGCTATAGTTATGAAATGAACACCGGTAACCATGGAGACAGACCATACTCTCATTATAGATACTGGGTATAAATAGACCGAATAAGGAAACTGATCTGATAGCCTATGAAGAGTAAAAGAAATTGAATCAATGACAACAAATACTCGTCCAGCACACGAGTTGTCATAGCAACACAAATAACAGCTGTCCACTAATTTTATTGTTGAAGATTGAGTAGGAGGTTTAACTGGTTGATTCTAAATACAGTACAATAAATGCTCCGGCCTTGGGTTTATGACCAATAAAAACTATTATAAAACCTCGGGGGACCTTGGTTTTTATAATAGTTTTTATTGGTCATAAACCCTCGGCCTCCTCATTTATTGTATACATAATATAACCTAACCAGTTGATTATATGGGAAATATAAACCTGTATATGTATAGGATATACCCTGAGCTGGAGTGTATATGGAAAATATACACCAAATACAAACCGAGTCCGCAGTAGCCCTTTCCCAAAGATTCTCGCCACTTTTTTCGCAACTTTTCGTTTAGGAAGAAATCGCGACTTTCGCAACTTTCTTCATTTTCGCCAACTATTTCGCAACCTTTCCCCAACCTTGGCCCCATGGCATGGGGTCAAAGGGTCAAGTCGCGGACTACATGTCGGACAAATGCAGACTCGCTCATTTCTCGCCTGCCTTCAGACTCATTCAGAGAAGCAGTAGATCAACAGAAGTAACGATAATGTGCATTCCCTTTTCCACGCACTGGAATGATGTAGGATACATGCAACAGGCTACTGGCACTGTGTAAAGTGGTGGTTCAGAGGAAGAAGGGGTGTACGAGTTTGCTGTCCCTGCACTTCTGCTATTTCTGCTCCTTTTTTGGTGATTTTTGCACAATAACTCTCCAATTTTAAGTTGCGATAATAGCAACTTTTGAGGTTTTTCTGCAAATATGGATGCGATTTCAGCAACTAGCACTTGTTTTGATACGGTTGCGAAAAGCATAAGTTGCGAAATATGATGGCACCTTTGGGAAAGGGCTAGTCCGCAGGCCGAGGTTTGTATGATGATGTATATTTTCCATATACACTCCAGCGAAGGGTATATCCGACTTATACCTACCTCAATATACACCCCATTCATCACACAATGCAATCTCTTTGTCTGTCAAATCCTTTAATTATATTGGATTTTTCCCAATTTTTGGGAAAGAGTAGATCATACCTTACAAAGTAAAGTTCTTTCTTCAAAAACCTGTTAGAGTCTGCATTCCGTGTTTATCAAAGATGATGTCTGCCAAGTTTCACCAGCACAAGGGCTTTACTTTTTCTGTAACAGGCCTTCTCGTGCAAGAGTGTCCAGAATTTTCAAAATCCTATACTGTGTATAGGATTTGGCCTCTTCAAAAATTGGTTTTGTTCTTCCCAGTTTCCCCTGCCAATAAAAACCATAGTTGGCAATATCCAAGCCTAGATATAGCCCATATGGAGCTAACAATAAAATTCTATGCATCTATGGCTAAAGAAGAAGCACCTCCTGGGCTAGTACCAAAAGAGTATTCCACAATTAATATGTGTACATACTTAAACACAATTGATTTAGTAAATGCCCCGAACATGTTGTGTCTTTAGTTCATATTGATCTGCGAGCAATTTACAACACTACCTCAATGCTAGGATGATGCTAATATTCATCTATTCCACTCCTTGTCTATTTCTACCACTTTTTATTGCAATTCATCAGCAATAATTGCACACAGATACCTTCCCTTGGGGTCTTAGCCAGTGAGTGACCTCTATTCATTTATTTTAAATAAGGAGAGGCATTGCGGGAAAGATCAAAATGCATCTTCAATAACATTGCTTCACACATCGACCATTTTCGAGGCGGCAAATGCGTCTTGAAATCTAATCCTATAATATAATATGGGATTAACTGGTGACAGACAAAGAGATACTAACCTTTTTAGTACAGCATTTGTACTATAGTGTACATAGGATGTTGCCTCTTTTGGGTACAAGATTGTAAGAACAACAAGGTTCAGCATCTGCAGTACAGTGGCTGGGTGGTATAAGGGGTTGCTTGAGATGCATACTGTTGTGGGTTCGAATCCCGCTTGTTCTCTTCCTTTGTCTTCTTTCTTTCAATTTTCTTTTTGAAGTGGAGAGAAAATTTCTAAGTCCCTCTTCTTTGAATCCTAAAAAGGAGTATATATTACCAGTATTTATTCCTCTACAGTGGTGTGTATTAACCGTATTTATTTCATTCTTGAGCAAATACAATGAAGGGGGATGTTGTGCCCAGCGCGGGCTTGCGACTAGTTGGTTTGGAGGTGACAGCGTTGCGAATGACCGAGGGGCCTCGACGTCTGTCCCACTGTCCAGGAGCGACACTGACTCACGCTGCTATCTGGTGTTCACGAGGTGTTTGTCGCGCTGAAAACGGAGCGTCTCTGTAAGTTTGTATCCCTGGTGATGTTTGTGCCTGGAGAGCACTATATAAGTGGTGCTCTTCAGGCACAATCTTCCTCAGCCTACTCAAGCTCAACTGATGAGGGGTGAATTCCCCGAAACACTGTGTATTGAGCAGGGAGTGGTGCTTTCTTGCAGGTTTGCCGAGTCGAAGGTTCGATGGACTTCTCGTGTGCTCTGGATGGCAGTCGTGAGTCAGTCAATTGTCAAGTAAAGTCGGCGGAATAGCGCGAGCTCCGGTGTGGGGAGCAAACCCTTTCTTACAATGAATAATTATAATAATAATAATACTATCTTTATTAGGATGACCATACACTGGCCGGGGATCTGTGTAATGAATGGGGGTGTATATTAAGGTAGGTATAAGTATCTATTATTGCACGATTAAAGAGGTCAATATATGAAATATAGAACGAGTAAAAGACCGAGGTCCCCCGAGGTCTTTTACGAGGTCTATATTTCATATATTGACCGATTATGAGGGCAATAATAGATTTATCACGACATAGCATACCTAAAACTGTTTTTGCTTTGCTATCGGAAGAAAGGAATACTATTGTAATAGTATAATAGTATGTACATATGCCGTTTACATTGGACATTACTTCTGTGTAAACCGAAGTTTTCAGTTGTCTCTTGTAGTATGTTCCCCAAGTTCTTTGACTGAGAATCTGACAGTTTGGGTTCAAACCCCAGCATTTGGCTTCAGATTTTTCTTCTTTCAGTTCTTATTTTTTTCTAAGTTGAGGAAAAAGTTCTAAGTCCTCGGGCTTAAGTGGTCAATAATAAGTGGTCAATATAAGCGGTCAATATATGCTGATATTTGACCGCTTAGAGATCACAAGTTTCTGTGGGGTCAATAATAAGAGAGTGATAATGGTTTATATTTCCCATAATATTATAATCAACTGAGTGGGTTATAATGCTTATACTGAGCTGATATGCAAACTCCCCTCTCCCCCACAAAGGTAGACATTGAATTCCAACACACAACCATGGCTCGACGAGTCTTCCTTTCACTAAACTGTACGGAGCAAGTACAATACTACCACTGGCTCTGTGCAGTGCATGCAGTGCAGTACCATCACAGACGTAGATCTACACACTCTTTGTGACTAGTTTAGTAGTTACATGGGAAGTAACAGCTATGCGCCAAGTAAGTAGTTGAACCTCACAGTGACCGTTACCGGCCGCAGATCTCACCGCGGGCTCTGTAAGAGAACCGTTTGCTCATTAGAGACATAGAGTTCGTCTCCTTTCCAAAATAAGAGTAAAATGAATCAGCACGAGCCTGTTGAATCGCCTCCTAAACGTTTCTTTGGTTCTTCTGAGGACGACCATGTTCCGTCCGCTCTGCGAGGGACGCGGAAAGGAGAACATCGATTGGAAAACCGTCAGTTGTGAAGTTCCGTCGCCCCTGCTATCTGCATTCTATGTCGATGCAAAAGGGCTCGCCTTTGTCCAAGAAGTGTCTCAAAGTAGTGGCACGTGGGGCTCTTCAGCAGCACATGTCGAGTGCTGCGCTTGACAGACGGATTGCTGAAACAGCTAAAGAAGGACGGCCTCGAACGTCAGGTGCTGCACAAGGCACCTGCTACACGATTATTCCCGTAGCTATGCAGAAGACGTTACTTCAGTAACGTCTGGCGCTAGCCAGGGTCCACACAGCTTTAATTTGGTATTTGTGTGTGTGTTTGTTTGTTTGTTTGTTTGTGTCACGCCTGGCGCTATCCCGTATCTGACGGCAAAAAAATCATAGGGATATTATAAATTTTTCAATTCTCCTATTTTTTTCAGGCATATCCTGGGATTCGAACCCGCACTATCGCCCTACATGCATTCCCCCATACACTTCGCATTCATACCCATTCTTCCAAGTTGCTTCACGTTATGATCTTGCGTTTGAAAGCCCTATTCAAATATTCAAATTTTGAATATTGCGGGCAGCTGTATGTGGCCAGCTGTGTTTGATGGTACGGTACGGGAGACGGTGTCGCATTACCCTCGATCGTACCTGTCTTTGTGGTCCACTTCACAACAATAACACACACAGAAGTCTCTGCTGTGAGCACGGTGGCTCGGCAATGGCTTTATTATTGATATTATTATATCTCCTTCCTGATTTTTTTCTTTTTCTTTTTTGAATAATTGTACGCCTAGGGCCTGATATAAGAAAAATTAGCACAAGACACTGCTGCTTCTATAGTCGCACAGCAAAACACACAGAAAACGACAAAATGTTACAATGAATGTAACAACACCCGTCCAAGCTAAAGGACC